TACTGCATATATTTTATTTGCCCTTACTTCATCTTTTGAGAGGACTTTAGATCACATGGGAAGAAGCTGCGGAGATACCCATGCCCCCTGCCCCAGCACAATGCCCCAAGTGGTGTCTGTTAGCCCATGAAACCATGGTCACTCGGCATTGGCACCACAGATCAGCTTATACAAGGGCTCGCTTGGTGGTGTGTTTTCTGTGGGTGTGCACAGTGCACCCACCAGGCGTTATTTCTAAAAACTGTGGTTGTGGCCAAGTAGGCATAGGCTTGTCACGTGACCACTTTCTGCACTATGCACACTGCTGTGCTGTCACCTCCACTCAAACTGAGACTGCGCCTGACTCTAGGACCTAGTGGGATCTTCCCACTAGGTCCCATGTGACATTGCAGGATGAGCTCCACCCATGTGGGTGCGCTGTCAGATGTGTCTCCTTCCTCCCTGCATGCACAGCATGCTTCCTGGCCATCTGCCAAGGGACATCTGGGGATGTCCACTCCAGCCATGGCGAGTAATGCCCCAAGTGGCTTTCAGACCTTTCTGCAGTTGGCCTCCCATTACATGGTCCACACTCAAAGAATTAACCAAATGTGAACTGGAAACATTTGTTTAAAGAAAAGAAACCCAAAAACCAGAGTGTCTGTGCTGAACCTGTACAGAGCTGTTTCCTCGTGGTCATTCCCCAGAGGACATAGCATCACAACTGCTCACAGGACATCCCCATGACACCCAGAGGCGCCTACAGTGCCCGGAGGATGTGCGGAGGTGCTGTGCAAACCTTTACACCACCACACTCCTGGTAAGCTGGGTTTAAGGCCGTGCTGTGTCTGCTCAGCTGTCACAAAGCCGCACAGGCCAAGGCTTCACTGCCCTTGGGTACTCGCTCAAGGAGGGAGCCCAGGTGACTCCTCTCCTGATGAGAGCCCATTCATGGCTGTCACAGACGACCCCCAAGTGCCAAGGGCTGCTCCAGCTGGCTCCAGGCCCAGGCCTTTCTGTGCCTAGCGCCCACTGCCACCCTGCTGCACCCGCTCTGACTGCGAGGACCCCAGAGCTGTCCAGCGAGAGTGGTGCTTGGAGATCAAGGTCCTTGGGGATACCAGCTCGTAGCCAGCTCTCTACCCCAAACACCAGCAACAAACAGGTACATGGGGTCAGAAAAGGAATTGCTGTGCTGCCGTCCTTGTATAAGCCATCTCCCACAAGCTGGTACCTCACGCCTTCACAGGCGACGAGCGGGTAACAGGCGCCTGCATGGCCTTGCACGTGTCCCCAAGCCGCTCACTGATGGTAGTGGCTATTCCGTGGGTATGTGAGACAGAGCCTTCATCACAGGATGAGAATGAGCACCAGCAAGAGGGGCAGCCGGGCCGGGGCTCCAGGTCTGATGTCCAAGGGCTCTAGGTCTGATGTTCAAGGAGGACCAGTTACACAGCGCCCCATCCAAACCCACATGATCAGTCCAGCCTCAGCCCAGCAGAAGGCTGTGCTGTCAGCAGGCAGCCAGAGCGGTTCAGAAGCAGCAGGGGCACTGGAGACACGGGAACTGAGGGACCAGAGCAGCCCACAGACCAGAGACCCAGCTGCCACACTGAATACTGCTTGTGAGACCGGCTCCAAGTTGGCATGTGAATTATAGACAGACAAAATGCAGTGCCACCCAGGCTGTCTCAAGAGACCAGGCAAAGGGAGGTGAAGTGTAGTAGGGGGAAAGAAAGGAGAGAAGGATGGAGAGGGCAACAAACAGCTTTAACAAATGTAACAAAATGTTAAAAATTGATAAATCTGGGTCAAGAGTACTGAGAAGTTACCTGGTTTTTGTTTCTATCTCAACTGAATTGGTTAGTTTAAATCAGGAGTGATAGTGCACATCTATAATCCTGGTCATTCAGGAAGCTGAGGCAGGAGGATAAATTCAAGGCCAGTCTGGGCTCCACTCTGTCTCAAAAAGAAAAAGAAATAAGATAGTTTCAAAATAAAAAGATACAAAAATAACAGAGCAAATCAGTTCAAACAATGAAGCTCTTTGGGTCTTGGCTCCTGAGGTGAGCCTGGCCTCGGCAGCCTGTGGGAAGGCATCCAGTTCACCTTGAGGACACTAGTCCCCAACACTGATTACCCACACTGACTGCCACGGCCACGAGCAAGGACACACACAGAAAGGGGTACAGCTTCTATCTAGCCAGCATGTGGCCCCAGGGCGTGATGAAGTCCCTTTGCTCAGGATGCCAGGGTCCTGTCCTTGCCCCTCCCTCCATTTTGGTTCAGCTGCCCACCCCCCCAGGTTGCCAAGGGCAGGTGTCTGTATTTCAGGCAAACAGGAAGTGTAGCAGAAGATGATGCTCTCCAGGATGGCCGTCTGCCCCGGAAGGCACCCTCCCTGCACCCTCAAAGCTGGGTGGGGGCTAGAACAGGATGTGTAGCAGGCACTTCAGGCTGCCAGGAAGCTACCGTGAGCAAAACGATTAGGGCTGCGGTGGCCGAGCTCAGCCACTGTCCCTGGGACTGGCTCCAAATCAAAACACAAAACTCATTCTCAGTGAGTGAGATTTCTAGGGCCCCAGGCTTGGTGTGCAAACCCAACATGCAGCCAGGGAGTGACCTGGACGGACCTTCCTGCATTTGTCCTGCAAGGAAACAGCTCTGGAGTGGCCCAAGTATGCTGAGAAATTCCTTGTGCAGAAGCTGTGGCTGAAATGTGCTGTGTTCCAACTGGCATTTTTCATGTCACATATTGTTTTTTGAAATAACACAGAAATTACTGGACAAGTTTCAGGGAATCATAAGTTTTCTGTACAGACCTTTGGCAGGGACTTTTCAAACTGAAAAACTTGACATTTAATAACTTTCAGTACTGAAGATTTGAATTTTGGTTTAACTTTTGGAATCTTTGGTCTGGTCTGGAATTGCTGGTGTGGAACAATGAGGTAACAGGAAACTCAAGGCTGTGGCAGACTGGGTATCTTAACAAGGCTGCCAAATCTAAAACAGTACAATGAAAAAAGGAAAACACATGTAGTGAGAACAGAAATCACTCATGTCACGGGCCACAGCTGCAGAGCTGGCGCCGACTGTACATCTGGGTCCTGGGTCCGGGTCGGGCTGGGTGGAGGGGTGGGCTCCCTGCTCTGGACTCTGGCTGGCTTGGGACACACAAGGGGCCATACCCTGGGACTCAACTCGGGACGCTTGGGGTGGAGTCCTCAGAAATCACAGAACAGAAACTTCTGGATTTTTCACATCGCTGTTTTTAACATGGCTAGACAAGTATTTGTGTTACTAAGACTGTCACACAGTATTTGTCAGTTACTAAAAAAAGGAGACTTTTTGAGACAGAAACCCTGAATTAATAAGCTCTCAGAGTGGAGCAAAATGGAAATGTCAGCATGGATGTGAATGGAAACAAGGCACCCTCGTGAACCAAGTTGGTTCCGATTTCATTGACTTTGTAAAAGCCAAGCTGCTGGGGCCGGGAGCAGCACTAAGCAGGCTGGGGGCTCAGCACCAGCCTCTCCCCACACCTTCCATGCAGGCCCTCTGCCACAGGGAGTACACGCATGGGGAGCAGAGCCTAGGCAGCCTAGCATCCTGTTTTAGGGGCAGCTTCCTGTACTAGCCTGAGCTCGGCATCCCTGCCTGACCTCCTTGGCCAGAGGCACTGAGGCAGTGACGGAGGAAGCATGGCTTTGTCCTTCCTGCAGGGCTGGGCACCCACCCTAGGGTTCCTGTGAGGCAACCCAAAGCCACTGTGGTTCACATGTCCAGTAGCTCTCTCCACAGGTGCCAACCAAATCCAAGACCAAGGCCTACCTATAGTGACTGGACCGGGCTGTGCCTACATCTGTGCTGAGGTCTACAGCGCCCTCCAGAGGTCTCGCTGGCTGCCAGCAACTGCTGAGAGAGGGCCAGAAGTTAGAAGAGGCTGCATAAAATGGCTCAGGCCTCTGCCACCCTCCTGCTCCTCCCACCGCGTGAGGACACAGCCTCTCTCCCACTGGATGAGGAAGCCATGCAAGCCACTGCAGTGCTACCCAACACACAGACCTACTGGCCCCAACCTTGCATTTCAGCCTTGGCTGGGTGCAGTTGGACTCTGTGCTTCCACAGGGAGCAGACTTGGGTGCTGCCATGGCAGCTCAGGGCCAGGAATTTCAGGCGCATCTGTCCCAGGCCACTCACCTGTGCAGTGCGTGCTCAGCCACCTACCAGGTGAAGCTGTGCAGTGCAAGCGTCTACCTGAGCCTCGATGGGAGCTCCTCCAGCGCATCAGTGGCACCACTCGGAGCTGTCAGCAGAGGCTGGAACTCCTGTTCTTGTTGCCAGCCTCGAGGTGAAAGAAAACAGCGACAAATGTGTGAGCTGCACAGGGGCGGGTGGCCAGCAATGGGGCAGGCCAGCACCCCCACCCAGCACCCCGACCCCTGTTCTGGTCACTGGGCCTTCTGGGCTGCTTCTGTAAAAACCATGGATACAGGAAAATATTTCCCTACTGAGGCAACGCACCACGGCCAAGACAGACAGTCTATGTGCCTGCTACAGGGCATTTCCCACCTCGATTCCCATCATCTGGGGAGTCGAGTCCTGGTTTGCTGGATTTTCCAGAATCCCTCGGTACTGGTAACTCTATCTCTGACTGAGGAATGTGTGTGCAGCCCTCCTGCCACTGGGCATGCAGTGACAGGCCATGGAATCCCTGGGAGGCATCATCAGGCCCAGGGGTGACTCAGTCTCTCACAGACACGGTCTCCACACCCCTCCCGAGAGGCGGCAGGGAGAGCATGGGATGGCACTCCCGCCTCTGCGTGCTGACGAGGTCCTGCAGGAAACAGGATGTGCAGCACGCTCTGGGGAACCCTCAGGCATGCGCAGTGCAGCTTCTGAGTGAATTCTGACCCCACGAAGACCGGCAGACACAATCTGCATTTCCAAACTGAAAAACATCCCAGGACGCGAGCAATAAGGGAAGCTGACTTTGGCAGACAGCAATGACACCCACCCGGTTTGTTAAACATCGGTCACTTTATTAGACACTCAGGCAGTCGAAAGCCTTCGGGTACTGCAGGCTCCCAAGGAAAAGGCACCTCAGAGCAGCCAGCAGGCAGCTGGGGTTAAGGATCACAGCAGGGATCCATTTAAATAACTTCTCGATTGAGATAAACAAGCATTGCCTGTCTTGAACTAAACACAATCAATAAAGTGAAAGTTAGCGTCAGTCATCAAATGGGCATAAGGAGCCACTTGACACGTGATTTTCAGCGGCAATAAACATGCTTCCTGCGAACACTTTTTCAAAGGCGCGCTTGAGGAAAAGGTCTATCTGTGCCTGCGCAGTGAGTGGCATGTGGGCTGCCACAGCAACGCCTGGTCAGCATGTTAACCTGGCCAGGGCCCTGGTGGCACAGGGTACAGCATGTGCAGGGGTGCCCCCTCAGGCAACAGTTCAGGGCTGGCACCGAGGTCTTTGGGCCCAGGGCTGCCCTGAGCTGGCTCTCCCAGGGAAATGACCTTCCCACCTAGCCTGGAGGCCAGCAGGCAATCGCCACTCGGGGAGTGAGGTTCCACCCTGGGGTCTGCAGCCCTGCCACTCACAGTGGCGCTCACACCAGACAAGTGTGAAGTCTGGTTGCTGGATGCATTATTTTGTCAACAAGAAAGACAATATCAATTTACAACATTCTCATTTTAAATAGGTCTTGTGAAGTACACTGTGTTGGGGTGAACTCTAGTGCTGCCTGCTGAGGGCTGGGATCCCACGAAGATGCCTTGAGGCCAGCTGACTCTAAATGGTGCTGCGGCAACCCAGTTCTAAAACACACCAGGGAGATTATGTTTTTGTTTTTGTTTAGTATTGGGAATTGAATGCAGGACCCTACACTTGCCAGGCAGGCTCTTGTGCCACTGAGCTATATCCCCCTCTCCAGGAGATTTTAACAAGGGCTAACAAATTATATCCCAATTCCTTCCAACACAAATAAAATGACTTGTGAATGAGACCCAGTGTTCCTGATTAGGAAGGGTGGCGACAGTTCCACCTGCACCTGCCACCTCTGCCCACAGAACCCCTTCCTGGAAGCCAAACCCAGCCCATGATGGCGAGGCCCACAGGAACAAGTCGGGTTGCTGAAGTGAGGTCAAGATCTCAGGTAACACTCCGGCCACGGCCCATTCACACCAAGGAAGAGAGCGTGCTGGCCTGGACCAGTTCCCAGACAGACGAGCATGTCCTCACTCTTCCCGGAGCCCCGAGGAACCCACATGCCCTGGTCAGCGGCACCATGGCCTGCCTGGCCACAGCCACTACGGCCTCTTCTTCTGCAGCACCTGCCCACCGGTCCTGTCTGCACGGTTATTTTTGGTTTCCGGCTGTGCAAAGTTCCAGTCGACTGGAGTGAGGAGCTGCTGGGTCTTCTTGTGGGTCCAGTATGGGTTCAAGAGCAGCGTGAGCAGAGCCAGCCCAACGAGGAACAGGGTGAAATGTGGCAGGTACAGGCTGCTGACCAGTCGGTCCCAGTGCCAGAAGCACACCCACCACATGTGGTAGGTGAGGACCATGCGGCAGTGGAACATGTGGATCATCAGCCACTGGTTGGCCTTCCAGAGCAGCGTCTCAGACCAGCCGGCCTGCAAAGAGAGCAGATGTAGATGTCAGCCTGGGAGGCCCCACCTCCCCTCCCCACCTCAAAGCATGGACCACCAGCACACACTCTGCCCAGGGTCATCCACGGGTGGGCCCAGTCCCTCACAGGTCCAGGCCACTGTGGGGCCCCCACCAGCTGGTGGCCTGTCCCCTTGCTCTCCTTGATTTCTGCTCAGCCCTTCCCTTGTCCCTAATGTGCACATACAGTACCTACACTCTGTTTATCTAGCACCACTGCAAGACACAGGCCTGGGAGCAGGATCTCCTAGTGAGAGTTTAGGACAAAGTTTACTACTTCACCACAGCAGCCCTCGGACACAGGCCTGCCTGAAGTCCTGCCTCAGGTCATGGAACACTTCAGCAGCCCCAGCCAAAACTGCACAGGGCACTGATGATGCATCAGACCCTGGTGATAGGGCGGGGCACCAGCACTTCATGGACCATCCTGTGCTCAACATCACCTCCAATCACCACCCGAGCTGTATGACAAACAAGTTAGACAGAAACTAACATGCGTTGGAGAGGGACTGGGTCCTCAAAGGAGGCAGGGCACAAGATAAGACATAGAAACTGTAGCTGTAACAACCAGAAGACAGCCAGTTTCGTGACCTCCCATGAGACAGACGGCAGCTTGTGAGCACATTGGTGGCAGCACCAGCTGGTCCAGGAGCCCAGAGAAGGCATCTAATGCATAGACCAGGAACCAGAACACCTGATCCGGCTGCCTATTCCTGCCCAAAATGGCCCTGCCTTTCCACATTAGGAGTTACAGACAAGCGGTATGCCTTCATACAGTGTCTCCCTCCGTCAGGTCTGTTCTAGCTGAGCTACTGTACCTGGACCTCACAGACTGGCCTCATCTGGCCAAAGTGGTCTGAGGTGTCACTATGTTCACATACAAAACCCCTAGACAAACAGCATTGGTGGCCACCCACTTTTGGGCCCCTCCTGTCACTCAGGAACTTTTTCTCAATAAACCTTTACTACTTGTCACCTCCTCTGTCCTCCTCTCTATTCTTCAGTTACCAAGAGATACAAATTCAGCACATCTGACACTTGACCAGCTGAGAGTCAAGTGTCTGTGACACCAGGACTAGGACACTGCCCTGCACGCAGTGGAAACTCGGCTCCTGGACACAGGTGGTCCTGAGACCAGGCAAGGCTGGATGTGGGCTGCTGTGTGGTGGGCAAGGCAACCTGGGGACCTCAGGCAGAGAGGACACGGAGCCACTTCTGACAACCATGCAGTCACAAGAGAGGGCTGCTTCTCTCCAAGTGTCCAGAGACAAGCGCACTCCACTTGACAAAAACCCAAACCATGGCCGGCACTGGAGGGAGGCCTTAGAAATGAACATGGTCAGGCCAGGAAAGACAGGCACTCACTCGTGTTAAATGCTGTGAATTTGCACCAACGACCTCATGGTCTCCCTTGTAAAATCAGACACAGCAGGCTCTTTCCTCATCCAGTGATCAGCACCTCAAGGAAGCAGAATCAGCAGCTTTTCTCACGAGGAGCAGTGCTGTGCTGAGTCCCAGGCATAGAGCTGCTATGTGCGCCTGACCTGTCTACCCGAAACACCCCAATGTTCACCAAGGAGACCTGGACTAGACAGGTTGCGAAGCCTCAGGGACACACAGCAGGTGGGGTAGGTGTGCACACTAGCCACTCTGCTGGGACCAGCACGGGCAGTTGCCCATGCTGGCTGCAGCAGCAGCAGGCACTTCCTGTGGGTGCTCCCAGCCTGTCCTCAGCGTGGTGTCCTGGTGTCACAGCACATGTGCACACTAGGGACAGGTGTCCTGCTCCTGATTCTGTCTGGACTCTGGGCATCGTTGCCTCTGGAGCAAGGAAAATTATGGCCTTGGCATCTGCTCCCCACATGCAGCCTCACTTGAATGCAACCTGAGTGCTACCCAAGGAGGCTGGTGGCCTGTGTCATGCCACGGGGGTAGGCAGCATCTGGCTGGGGTCGGCTGACCCAAAGATCCACACGAAGGGTCCTTTCTTTGTGCAGCACACACAGCGTGCTCTGCTCTGCAGCCCCATAGTGGTGACCCTGGACTAGGAGGCTGGGACAGCTGGTGCTTGAGAGCAGCACAGCTCTGTGTGGTATTCTGCTCTGCAGACAAAGAGAGCACATGGGCCATACCTGGCCACTACCATGAGTCCACAGGTCTCACTGTGGGGAGCGGCTCCAGAGAAATACCCACTGTACCAACAGCCTAGCTTCCAGAATCATCCCGGGCATCTGGAGCACAGCTATACGTGCATCTGCCCCTCACAGGCCTCACTTCCAGCTCCTCCAGTCACCACACTGTGGTCTTCTCCATCACTTCTGCATCACTCAAGTGCCCACAAGGCTCTCATGGAGTGGCCATTTCCCCAACTCACAGCCCAGCAGCTGTGCTCCATTAATCTCTCAGTGACCACACAGTTGTCTTTGATTTTTAATATTGACATCGGGAACAGGAACTGCAACTGCAACTCACAGAGACAACGTTTATGAAACCCAAAGCTTGAGAACCAAACGCTCTTTGGTCCCACCACTCATTCAGGCCATAATGAAATCTTTCACAGTCAGTGTCATCCAACTCCTTGGGCATGACCACAGCACATGACAAAACCTGTAGGATACCAGTGATGGTGCAACCCGGCACCACCTTGCACATCTTAACTACCCATGTACACACACACATAAATAAACACACATGTGCACACACATAAGTATGGAAAACAGACCGCTACTACTCCTTTCCATTTGCACTACTGAGGGTCTGGATGCTCATACATAGAGGACTGAGCCCTACCTACCCCACTCACTGCTCACTGTAGACAACACTGCAGAAGCTCCCAAGAAGGAAACATGAAGAGCACAGGAGGAGGAAGAAGGAAACACCAGGAGTACGCCGTTGCCTCAGAACTCATCTCCATTCTTACCCTGATGGGGAACCTTTGAGGGCTTCTGAGGACACAGCCCCTGCAGCATGCATGCCATGGTTTCCATCACTGGTTCCTACTTACTGCCATGTCAGACTCTCTGAGTGGGGTTCCTGGGCCCCAGGGCCCTCCCCTGCTAGAACCTGTCACCCCTCGGGTCCCTCAGGGACGCCGACACGTTAGCCCTGGCATTACACACCACACCCAACAGTAAGTGAGAACAAGACACAGGATCTGGACAGCGGACCTCAGTGCTGCTAATTCCAGATGGACTCTGGGTCTGCTGGCTTTGTGCAGTTTGCAAGAGCAGGAGGGCCCATCCTTTCCCCGTCCTGCATGGAGAGCCCCCTGGGGACCACAGTGTGCACCTTGGCCCAGGTAAAACTGGTGAGTGCCCCACTACAGATCTGTGCTTCCCCAAGGAAGAGGCGGCTGGCCAAGGCCCGAGCTGAGGGGTATGTCCCCAGGGGTGTGGCCCAATCCCGCTCCAGCAGGACCCTGGAGAAACACCTGACCCTGATTTTCCAGGACTGGACACAAGACTCTCCTTTTCTTCCTCTCCCCTTCTCTCCTTCCTTTCAAAGCTCTTCCAGCTGGGTGTGGTGGCCCACTCCTATAATCTCAACACTGGGGGCTGGAGGGGCAGAGACAGAAGGAGTGCCACAAGTTTGAGGCCAGCCTAGATGGCACAATCAAATCTGTCTCAAAAAAACAAAACAAACACCTTTCAACAACAAAAATAATAAAAATGCCAAGTAACTGTTAGCTTAGGTTCCAGAACACACAAGTGCCCCCCAGCATGTACTCCTGTGGGCCTCGGCCTGGTCAGGATGCACGAGCAGTCCTGTACTCCCTCCACAGACACGATGCTCCTCACTGTGCTTCAGTGTGGGGGCCACAGTGCCAGGTCTGTGTCCCTTTCCAGCAGGATTTCACCCCACACAGCACCTATGCTGGCACCATGCTTTGAGCCAGAGAAAGGGGGAGTCAGGCCCCAGCCAGCCTCACCAGAGACAATGGAGTGGTGTGTGATGCAGGCAAGATGCTGACAGGGTCTGGGTTGCAGGAGTTCCCCCTAGGACCCCTGCTTAGTCAGCCACATTGTTGCCATTCGCCTTCCCAGTGAGGACACCTGGGTCCCCACACAGCATCCACCTTCTCCCCTGTAAGGTCCACCGAGCATGCCTGGCTCCAGCACCTCCCACCACTGCAAATCTCCCCTCATGGATCTCGCTGGGCCGCCTCGGCCTTCTGCAGCTGCGCTGCGATGCACCTGCTGCCGAGGGCGCCCGCCAGGACTCTGGGGGCCTCAGGGCTCTGTGTACCCCCTGCCCCTCCCCACGGCCTACCCAGGACCAGGGCCTCATCACACTGCTTACTGCGCTGTGGACTCATGTGTGACAGTCGCGCAGTATCCAGGCAACTGGCACTGGTCCTGCAGACAGGAAGTGCTCAGTCAGAGCACCCTTCTGCATGACTGGATGACACTCTTGGCACGTCATGTACCCTGTGAACAAAACACCCTGCAAAGTGTCACGAAAGATAGCAAGAACCTATGCTAGATGGTAATCTTAACATGAAGAACACTTTGACATGAAAATAAGCATTGTGACCAAACATGGAAGACACACATTAAAAAATATATCTTCAAAAATAAGAAGGGTGTGCTGGACCAGCAGGTGCCAGGTGCCTGCAGCACTGCTCACTGGTCAGTGGCAGGGTGATAGGGGCCACACAGCCCAGGTGCAGAGGGCAAGGCCTACCTGGACCAAGATGCAAGTGGGGCAAGTAGACCGCAGTCACCACCACCCCTGACAAATCCCGAAGGGGCACAAACATGCGCACATATATGTATCAACTCAATTTCTGAGGCGTGGAGAAGGTAAATACGTTTTTGTGGGCACACAGTGTGACTGTGAAGTCATCAGGTCCATGTGTTTCTTTTAGGAAACAGGAAGCCCCAGGAACTCAAAACAGGCAGCTATGACCTGGCTGCTGCTGAGTCCAGGACAGCTCAGCTGGGCTCCCGCTCCACAGCACTCACTCACCTTCAGGAGCATCCAGGAGACGCAGGTGAATGGGGTGCTCATCTCCAGGAGCAGCGTGGTCATGGCTAGGTAGTGGCCAGCTCTGAGGTTGACCACCAAGCCAAGGAATCCCAAAAAGGCAAAGAGGTGGTGGACAACTAAGAAGAGGTCGAGAGTCCGGAAGAACAGGCCAGACAGGTACACAGCCACATTCTCAAAGAAGAAGAAGCCAGTGGCAGTAGTGACGTGGAACCAGCACCAGTTCTGCTGGCCCAGTGCTTTGTCAGCTTGAAGCACAGGGTCCCCCAGCAGCGCCCACAGTCCAGCAGCCATGCTCTGGACCCCGAAGATGGCACGTGTAGCTGCCAGGTCCCAGAAGACCTTCTCTCTGGCCACCAGGGAACGGTAGGTGGCATTCAGAGAGGATGAGAGCTGGTGGCAGACAACAAAGACACCCAGGTAGAAGACAAAGCCTGAGACCACCAGCGTCGAGCGAATCTTCCAAGACACGTAGTCTAAGTCGAAGATGCCCTCAGAGGTGTCCCCATCACTGGCAGGAGTCATTGTCCTAAGGCGTGTACCCACGGGGTCCCAGGGCCACACTGCACTGCCACCCCTCACACTGCGTCTTTCCCCAGGGAAGGATCCACACGGCTGTCTTCAGGACCTTCATGTATCTGGCTCCAACCTAAAGCAGAAAAGAGTTCGCCTGTGTTGATTCAGGAGGATGATTGCTGCCCAGCAAGGCAAGCACACAGGAAGTATACCTTCAGTTCTGCACCTGTCCTGGGCACTTACAAAGACATGATAAGCAAGGCAACATCTGATAGTACAGGCAAATGAAAGAAAATAAACCCTAGATGGAGAGGCACAACCTCAATTGGGGGCAGGGACTTACTAACATGGACACACACCCCAAGGATTCCCACAGGAGCCCATGAACTGGGCTCAGGCTTTGTGCAACCTGCGACCAGCTGCACAATTCAGAGCCCACAGGATAAGACACTCAGGGAGTTACCAGGTGCTGTACTCTAGTAAGGCAGTGACTGTCACTTCTAGGAGACAGAGGCTGCTTGGGCTCCAAACTGCCTGGCAGAGCAAACCTCCTTATGCCCCACACTGCCAGCATGGGAACAGGGCCAGCCACAGCGGTTCAAACCTTGCACCTGTGTTCATTGGCCCTGTGGCCTCCGAGGGTCTCTGGACTGGGATTCCTTGGGGGAGCACAGAGCGTGAGCCCTGGAAGAAGTGGCAGATGCCACAGGATGGCAGCTACATCTGCCACAAGGCACAGGGTGAGCATTCCTAACCTGAAAAGCTCCCCAATCATGAAATTCCTGAGTCTTGACAGATGCCCCAAGTGGAAAATTGCACACCTGACATCATGTGACAAGTCACAGGCAAAATGAAAACACAAAAATTACTTTACACTGTTTGCATGGAGAGTCCCACCTGCTTGGGAAGCTGAGATGGGATCCCTCAAGGCCAGAATTTGGGACTGGGTATCTGAACAGAGCTTCTTCTAGGTTGCATGTATAAGGTACTGAATCATGAAACAAATGGATTTTGTATTCATTTTTGGGTTCCATTCCCAAAATACCTCATTAGGGGGACTCTCCCCACCCCATCTTCTATAGCACTTTTGGTCCAAGCATTTTAGACAAGAGACGCTCAGCCTGTAAGAACTCAGATGATGTCTAATACCTTGATTACCATCACTGGTTGCCCTCAGATGGTCCCATTAGTAGTACAAGAAATGTGAGGCCTTGGGTTCTGTCTGTTAAACTACAAAAGGTCTGGAGCACACCAGTATCCAGCAGGAAGAAGTCCTGGTGTACGTGAGTGGGCCCTGGGCATGTGCAGATGGCCAGCCCAAACTCTACCATGGCTCCGGTGTACCAGTCTGCTGGACAGGGTGTCCTCCTGCCCACCTGGGTCCAAGCAGCTTCACCAGCCTAGGAGAAGCACCCACTGGAGGGACACACAGCCCCTGCTGGCCACTCTGGCTCCCATCCCAAGACAGCGTCTCATCTCAGCCTGGCAAAGTCCTATTAGACACACACACCGGACAGCGTATTGGCCCCTGTTCTAAATACTCATGTTCCCCTACTAACAGAGGCTGCCAGTGGCAGGGAGATATTGTGAACCACGTGGATTACCTGTTCAAAAAATAAGGTCAACTGAAATGATAGATTTCTGCAACAATGCAAAAGCAGAAGTCTATTCTTTGTATTTTGTATGTTTCTGCTATTAATATCACTTCCTATCACCACTTAAGTTTAATAACACTCATTCCTAACACACTTAGGAGCAGCCTGCCTCCATGCTAGAAGATGGTCACTGGAGTCACTTCAGAGTTCATACCAGAAGCCTGTCCAAGGAAAGTGCATCCTGGTCCTTGTGTTGGTCGGGCTTCCCATGACAGCAAGGACCTGCAGGATCTCCGTAAGAGCCACCCATCTTCTCGGCTCCAACTCAATACCTCCTGCCTCTCCCGCTGTGGTGTACCCCTGGTCCTTCGGGAACACCCTTTCCCTTACCAGAGGCCCTCTTCCAAGAAGAGACTTCCCTACCCTACCCAGGCCAGTGGAAGGTGGCCTGGGCTAGGGCCTCACCACCAATGAGGGAAGCACCTCTGTAGCAAGCGCCCAATGCACCCTGCATCTCCTCCCCCAACTCAGCCACCCTAATCTCCACTGGACATGCTTGATGATGCCAGGGCCATACCTGCCTGCCCATCCTGCATCCCCTCTGCATTCAAGGCCTGGCCCACCAGGCACTCTGGAAATCTGTCTTCAGCATATAAGCAGATACTAACGTGTGTGCCAGTAGTCAGACTTACCCAAGTCTGGCCTTGTCTAGCTTGTGGAACGGCAAAAGCCAGAGTTTCAGCTTAAAACTCAAGGTACCAGTGACATTTCCTACTCCAGGCTTTCATTTTCAGAATGAGCAAGCAAAGCCTGCCTCGAGGCCTCTGGCTAGGGGGTACACCCTTCTTGGGGTTTCCGGGACACTGAGCCCTTGCATGGATGCACACCTAATGTAAGTCCCTTGCAAGCACAGACCTGCTTCCGGCCAACCTAGTGCAGGAGAGGGGATAACTGGAGGTCTTACTCCCAAGCACTGAGCAGCAACCCACTTGCTACACAGCTCGTGTCTGGATATCCTCCCAAAGCCCCACGCAGTCCTGGTGGTGGCTTCTGGAGCTTGTGACTGATTCATGGTCCAATGCTGGGATTTCAGGTGTGAGTGCTACACCCACCCTGGTGCACGTAGCCTGTGGGTAGTATAAGAGAGGGAAAGAGGTTTGCTCTTTTGTGCCTCCCTTTTTGCTCTGACTGCTTTTGCTGTCTTCCACCCACCCCATAAACTGTCTCCCTATCCTGCTTTGACGCCAGCTGATTATGGACTGAAACCTCCTCAGACTGCAAGTTAAACAAACTCCTTATTTTGGAAGTCAGATATTCTGTCTCAGCAATGAGAGAAAAGTAACCAACACACCACTAAATCATAATCGTACACTGCTGAAATACAGACTCCACAACTCAGTTACCAGATCAGACTCACAGTTCCTGCTCTGCCACAACTGCATTGACCTGTTCTCGGCCTGGACACCTGACTGGGACAGCCCCAGCTCTAAAGAGCTTGGCAAGTTCCTCCTCCCAGAACAGTGAACAAGAGTCTGGTTTGCTTGGTGGGGAGGGGCCCCAGAGCACCAGGACTGAGCCATCAAGAACAAGTGAGCTCAATGGGTTCTCTCAGGTTTGCTAGCAGAATCTAAGACAATAAGGTTCTTGGCCTCACTGGGTCCTGGTAGGTAATTGGGAATTAAGAGACACAGTAGTGGAGCACTTAAGCTGGCATTTTCAAGCAGGCTGCTTCATCTCCAGCGAGACAGCACGGCTACCAGGCCTTCAGGCCACCTTCCAGTGGTAAGACTGTATCTATACAGGAAGAACTGCCGACAGATGAGCCAGTGACCAGGACAGAAGCACAGAAGCTAGGGCCAGGACTCTGGCAGGCCTGCTGGCTCTCCTGGAGCAGGGGCCACTATATTTAAAAACAACACTTACTGCCTTTCCATCTGCATCACCAAGCCCTGTTTTGATATTGTGCTCAGAGCTCAAGCAGGGCATGTACTATCCATGCTTTAATCAGCCAGCATCCCCGGCTGGGAGGAAGGAGGCAGGTCAATGCAACCACCTGAGCCTGAGGGAGGAAGCCCAGCTTCCCCTGCTCAAGCCAGCAGGTCTGTCCTCCCCAGGGTCCTGAAGAGCTGCACTCCCTGAGTGTCACAGTTGCGCTCACCCCAAGTCAGCAGACAGCCACTGCTAAGGAACCATGCGGGGTGTATCCAGTTCTCCTTCTGTGTCTACTTCTGCTCCTTGACCCAACCACATGTCTCTTAGACCAGCAGGAAGGGACAAAAGAGTCACCACTGGTGCCTGTGGTATATCTCCTCACATCAGCCTGCTTCGAGGACTGCGAGTCACTATCTTCTATGGGAGACAACAGAAGCCCAACAGCACCAAGTCACATGATCTCTCAGGAGCCCCCTTATCTCCCTGCTCAGGAGCTGGAGGAGCCAGCACAGAAAAGCCCTCAAGGGCTCCTGGATAAGGGTCCATCTGCTGACTGCTAACCTCCTCTGCCTTCCTCTTGTGGTAAGGGGCAGTGGTTTCAACTGTACTATCGCACTCTGGCCGACTTTAAAAAAAAACCCAAAGGCTAACAAACTTAGCACACTGGTCCAGTATGACCAGGCACCTGTTCCAGGAGCTGGGACTCAAAGCTGTCAAAGCTCTTGATTTCTGTCTGTCCTGCTCACAAGGGGTACCAGCACTTTTGTGTTTCACTTCTAAAACTTGGAAATGAAGTAGAGGAGGAAAAGTGGCTACAAGAGTTCCGCATTTTTGAATTTTTTTTTCAGTACTGGGGACTGAATTCAGAGCCTTCTTAGTAAACTACAGCCCCCCCCTTTTCTCTTCCCTTCCCTTTTCCTCCTCTCTTCTCCAGTACCTGTCTCTCCCTCGCCCCTCATTGCCCCCCCCAATCCTGCTAAGTGGCGGATTTGTCCAGGCAAGGCTCTAACAACCCTCCTGTCTCAGCTTCTGAGAGCACTAGGATTACAGAGCCCTCGGAATTACTTAACTTTCCAGGAGAAATAATCAAACATGCTGCGACTACTGACTGGGCCCTGGCACCTCGCAGTCTGTGAAGTCAGAGGGTAACCTATCGACAGGATACTGATATGGCTCGGTAATGCTTCTCTCCACTCTGGCTGTGGATCACGGCACAGCAGAATAGTCACCTGTTCTGTATCTAATTCGCAATCTCACCTCTGCGTTCCTCTTACCCTAGATACATGCACTCACTCCTGACTGCCTCGGCTATCCTGGCAGATCCTTCCTTAAACAATGCAATAGGACAATTACACTGTTAACACTGGAGACCTGCTGCACTGTTGTCAAAATATTTCCTTCCAAAAGCAAAACAAATACGTGCTGAGTTAACAAAACTCGAGAAACTAAAGCAAGAGAAACAGAAACAAAGCCCTGTAATTCTCCTGCCCAGCTTTAAGTCGTATTATTGGTTATTCGATGCCTGCTGGGTCAATCTTTTTTCTAAACTGCTTTTTTTTTTTTCTAAGCCTACACCGCCTGTCTGCTTCTTTCGCCGCTTTCACCGGGTGTGCCGGGGTCTGCTCTCTGCCCGCAGGCTGCCACGCCCCCAGGGCCCTCCCGAGCGCAGAGAGGCGCAGCAGCCGTCCCGGCCCCGCAGGCCCACGCGACCCCGGACGCCCCGCGCTCACCCGGCTCCAGGATCCCAGCTCCCGGCTCCTGGCGCCAGCGTCGCGGACGGCAGCGTCGCGCGCTCACGACGCCGGCCGCAAACGCGGCCCGCGCACGCGCACTGCGGGGCCGAGCGCCGCGGGACTCGCCCCGCCCCCGTTCCCGTCCCGTCTCTCCCCCTCCCCTCCCCCCCCCCCCGCCTGCCGCCGGGTGGATGTCTGGAACCCGTGATCAGGCCGGACCCGAGGATCTGGGGACCTGGGGACCCCGGGCCTCGGGGGGACCCGGACCCCCAGACTCCGGGATGGCGCGGGGCGAAAAACGGGAAGGCGCGCGTCCCGGCCCGTGAGCGGGTGACCGGCGGCCTGTACCGCCGGGAGACGGTTTTTGTTCTCCATATGCACTTCGCGGCAGATGTGTTTTAGTGGTTTATTTTTAAATAAAACTTACGCGGGTACTTTGTTCCTTTATTTTTGTCTTCTGACTTTACTGGCTAAGATGCGAGCTGCATAAAAGTCAGGCCTGATTTTGCACACCCTTGTGTCCCTGCACCTGAAATACCACCTGGCACTTACTCAGTGAGCAATAAATACCTGTTCGAAGAACAAACGACATAAAATAAATGAAGGGCGTTTGGCCCGTGTCAGATCTCCCCATCCTGCTGTCTGCATTCCTGGACTGACACAGCAGTGTTCAAATGCCTACAGGGTGGAGCTACAGTGTGACCAACCCCGGGACGCACAAAAATGTGCACTTTGGCAAATACAACTGTCTTCTGTCCCTCTTGGACTGTTAGGGGCATTAAAAAGGCACTTGAGTTAGACACCTATTGGGAACATCTGCATGTCTCCAGTATGTTTGGAAAGGCTTACATGTACACTCAGCTTTAGTTCTTTTTCGTGAGCTTAGTTTTGTCTGCTGCACCCTGAGTCCTCCGGGTGGATAGAAACAGAAGAGCAGGTATCCAGGTCTCACTGTAGGCCAGATCAGAGGCCCGCACCTCTGTGGAAGTTTAAGGACACCATGATTGCCTCTGTGCTGTGCACAACAACAGGTCCACTGGGTGTGATAAAATCCAGGCAGCCTGCTTGTAAGACCAGGGTGTTGACCACTGGCCACTGACCTTCTACTCATTGCCTGACTTGCTGTCTCCAAGGCAGTGTGAAGGGCACCAGGTAAACACTGGGGCCACAGCAGGCACTGAAGGACTCCAGGTCCAGGAAACCTAGGCCTGGGCAGCCATCTGGCCAACTGCCAGGGGACACCTAGATTTGAGACTCTGGCCATTGGTCATTTGAAGCCCCTTGAAATGATATTTTAACAGAGTCTTATTCTTTGCACTAGGAAAAAGACAGACTCTTAAAAAGATGTCTGCAGATACCTGGTAAGATTTTGTTTCTTTCTGCCTATTTCTTTTTGAGCTCAGCAAAATGACTGAGTTGTTGGTGGGGTTTATCTCAGAGTAAGAGAATGTCCCTGATTTTATTTTTATGTCATTTTTGTAGTACTAGGGTTTGACTTTTTTTTTTTTTTTTTTTTTGAGACAGAGTCTGTCTCAATTGCCCAGACTGGGCTGGGTTTGACTTTGCCATCCTCCTGCCTCAGCACCCCCAGTGGCTAGGATTGCAATGTGTGTCAGTATATGCCCAGCTGGCCCTGAGTGTAGCTCCACAGTCATTCACCACAGAGCAACAATTTGTCCTGTAGCAGGAGAGTTCGGCTGCTGTGCTGCTGAATACTACGAGGTACCCAAGAACAGGCTTGTGCCCTGCTGGTATTAAGCACAAGAGTCTGTGCAACCCATCTCAGTCTACATGACAAAGACAACCCATACCGCACCTCCCTCCAGTTAAGTCCTGTACCCCAAGGATAAGACCAGGCCACCCATGGTGTCTTTGAACTCCTCACCTCTTGCCATCCTCCCTCAGGATTCTGCTGAGTCTGTCTAACAAGCATCCACCCCCCCAGCCTGATACCCCCTCTTCGTAATTTTCCATTTTAGGCTCAGCTTGCTTCCTAGCTACAAATCTCTACTTATCCGTGTATGTGTGTGTGTGTGTGTGTGTGTGTGTGTAACAGAGACAGAGAGAAAGAGAGAGAGAGAGAGAGAGATAGAGAGAGAGTCTCACTATGTCATCTAGGCTGGGCTCAAGCTTGTAATCTCCTGCCTCAGCCTCCTGAGAGCTGGGATTGTAAGCCCACAGTGCTGGGCCCAGCTCCACTTACCCTTGTATCTGAATTGAGCCAATTCTCTCTGCCCTATTGCAAGGCCCTATTGCAGGGGTTCCTAGCCCTACCTGAATAAGCGAACCACTACCACAATGTCCTGAATAAAGTCTACTTACTATTCCTTAACACCTATCATAAGGACGTTTTTCTTTAACTATGGTAAATGAAATCTCACGGGAATATTGTGAGAGAAGATTATCTTCCTATAATAACTCCTGTATGTATGAACACTTGTTTGTTTAAACCACATTTCTCTGAAAACTTTCGAGCCACACAATACTGTGCCCCTGCTTTGATCTGAGACTGTGTGTCACTAGTGGCTATGATTACCTCTAACACAAATAACCTTTACATCATGGTTGAGCCAAAGGCATTGGGCATTGCCATAACAACGAGGTTTACTAAATATCCTGATAAAATTATGTGACTGAGGGTTACCAAGGAGGTGCTATGGGGCCACCTCCTCCCATGGGGACATGTGCCAGGATCTGGAAATTTTGGGTTTCACAGCTTCAGGTGGGAAGAGAGAAGTTACTCCCAGGGGTAGGAACTGTCCAGCCAGTGATGTGAGCAGTGCTGAGGGTGAGAAGCTCTCATCCAGAAAGATGAAATGCCTCTAATTAAACCCAAAAACATCAGAGAAGGGCACCAAGCTCCAAGTGGGAGTGCACTAGAGGAGGCCTGAGTCACTCACCTTGATACTGGGTGTCCGTGACCTCCTTTCCATGGGGGCACAGTCATTACACCCACGAGCTGGGCACCAAGCCCTGTCATGTGCAAGATGGTCAAGGTGGAGTGATGCATCGCTGTCCTCACGGGGCCAGCTGCCTCCAGGAGGTGCAGGCTCAGAGCCCAAATCACCTGGCCTCAGCTTCTCTGGGCCCTGTGGCAGAATGCAAGTCCTTACAGGCTCATCCTGCTGGTTTGCTCGCCCACACCTTCCTGCTGAAACCTTGGGGAGGCCCTGGGCACTACAGTTGCCTCCCTTGGGCTGACTGGTGCTCCCATTTCTCTGGGTCTCTAAGTGCAGACTTCATCCTCCCCAGGGCTTTCTTGCCTGTATCTCACACTGGGCCTTTAAACTGTAGCTAGAAGCAGCACTGCCATTTGCAGAAGAATGATACTTCCTTCAATCCTGAGTGAACCAAGTGAATGAAAAATAAAACAGAGAACCAAAGGCCCCCACACAAAATCACCAGCACCAACACCACTAGAGAAAGCTCTGTGCTTCGATGTACACACACAGACGCCCAGGACGATACCTCACTATCTAATCCCAGGTGACTGGGATTAAATAACGTCAGGATGGATGTTATTTATGGATGTGAGTTGTCAAGACTCACAGCTGAAGACATGGTGTTTTAGGTGCCTGGATACTAAACCGGAGTCCCAGCCCCTACCCCTCAGTGGGCATGAGGGTGCCAGGCAGGGCAGCAGATAAGCAGCCACAGGGTTGGGGACCCTGAGCCCTCAGGGTCCAAAGAGTGCAGCAGGCATGTGGTGGCTTCTGCCCCTGCTCCCCATAGTTGGCCGGGTACGGCAGGAGACTCCCACCTTTCCATGAACCCAGAGACCCCAAACAGGACTAGCCTGATGTTGGGCCAAGAAGGATCCTCGTCCCTGCCGCACAAGGCCAGGCCTGATGATTCTGGGGCCACTCAGGGAAGCAGAAAACCCAGAGTGGCTGGAGCTGGGACTAAAGGAGAGAGAGGAGTCAGGCCGAGGAGGGGACAGACAGAAGGACAGGGAGGCACATAGCACAAAACTCATGGAAAGTCTGTGGCCAGGGTGTCTCTGACCCTGGAACCCAGAGCTGACGTCCAGGCCAGGAGAGACCTGAAACTGCGGATGCCCAGGAATGGGTAGGGGATGTGGGGGTCAGGATCCCTGGGCCGTGAAGTGGCCTTCTGGAGGCTGATGAACCATCATTGTACCATCTTATCCCTGGAAATCTGAGGGGCTGCGGGTCTGGAGGTCACTCCTGAGCTAGCAGCTTGAGGGGCCTGGGAAGGGGTCTGAGGCACAGCCCCAAAGGAGGACTGAGGAGGCGCCCAGCTTTGGAGTAGCCTCTTCTCTGAGGACCTGTCTGGTCTGGAGAAGAAACTCCAACTCCCATGGTCTCATGGAGCTAAGTCCAAGAGACCAGGGGTTGCGGGGCTAAGTGCACCAATGCACAGCCCAGGCTGCCCTGCTGTGCCCTGTCCCTCACTGTCTGTGGGGTCCTGTGGAGTCCTCCCAGGACACAGCAGCAGGCCTGGAGGCCAGAGGGCTCAGGGACAGCAGCTGCCCCCAGAGGCGGGTTCTGAAACACCTGGGGACACATCAGGAACAGCCCAAGGCCAGCCCAAGGAGACAGGAGGGGAAGGGAGGCAGGGACTCCTGAAACAACTGTGCTCAGAAAGATGGTGAGGACTGAACTACTCACCACCACCATCACATCCGTGTCCTTCACTGCAGGAGACTCACTTCCTGGCTGTCCCACCAGACCCCAAGTCCTTGCCACCCCAGAACAGGACCCCTTGGACCTCCAGAGGCTGCCCAGAGCTGACAGGGAGTGCTCCTCACTGGGACATCAAGGAGGGACACAGGCAGTGTGGGATTTCACAGTGGGAAATGAAGGGAGGGGAGAGGTCTGTCCTACAGAGGGGCCTGAGCAGAGGCCTGGTGCTGGGCACTGTCCTGGACCCCATCACTTTCCAGTGTGTGTGAGTGAGTATGACAGTGAGTGTGAGTACGTGAGGGGTGCCTGAGTGTCTGTGTATGTGAGAGGTCTGGGTATGACTGTAGTATGAGAGGGTATGAGGTGCAGTGTGTGAGGGTGTGTACAAGTGTGGATGTGTGTGTGGGAGGTGCCTGCATGTGCATTGTGTCTGTGTCTGAGGTGCATGTGCAGCTGTGAGTGTGTGTGTGTGTGTGAGT